CTCCCGCGTCCTCTCCCTTTCCTTGCCCACGCTTCCAGGGGCCCAACTGCACAGTCTCAGCTTCCCTTGGCACCCGGGTCAGAGGTGGGAGTGGAGAATTCCCGCTGCGCCTCCTCGTCCACCTGGGCAGCCTGGAAGCAGAGTCTAGCCAGGCGTCAGGGAAGCCTGTGGAAGGGTGGAAGCCAGGTGATAAGGTCTTTCTCCCTTTGAAAAAGCTCATGTTATCCTAGAGGAGACTAGATAAAGACACACACATTTCAATATAACGCAAAACCTTGTATAATCAAAAGCAAGAAGAGTAGCGTGTAGGGAAGAGGCTGAGAGATGCTTAAGAGGCGCTGAGACTTGAAAATTCCAGGCACAAAAGGGATATCTCTGATCTGCACCTAATCCCCACCCCCACCCCCAAATCCACAAAAAGTAAAAAACTAGAGAAATATCAGTTAAGACTTGATTTCACATCTTTTTAGTCAACAAGATGTTAAAAATAGGAGTGCCAACATTGCACAGGGCATTCTTACAGAAAAAAAAATTATTTATTAGTTATCTGAAACTGAGATTTAACTGGGCATCCTGTACTTTTATTTGCTAAACCAGGCAATCCTAACTAAAAAATACTAGATTGAGGAAGCAAGGGTCATTCTCTGATGTATACTAATTGGGATATTCGAGACATTTTTAGTGGGGCTTTAGTGGGGCTTGGAAAGGAAATGAGTTACCCCCACAGCACTTTCCCAAGCATATTGTAGGGTGAACCAGGAAGAAATGACTGAAACGTTTGGAAATGTCCTTATGTTTTGGCAGAAGTGGCAGAGTTTTTTGACTCTTGTTGACTCTTGACTAGACAATGGACCCCTCTCTGTGGCCAGTTTCCTTCCAAGCCAGTCCAGGGTACTATAGCACCCTCTGAAAGTGGAGTGTCACTTACAATGGTACTTCCAAATTGGGATCATGTGTTTTTTTTCTAACTCTTGCTATAGAGCCACACTACTCCTTAGTATTAATTGTATTTAAAAATAAACTAAGTTGGGACTTGATAACTTTAAAGATGGAATGGAGCAAAATCTGCTTTGAAATTCATGAAGTGCCCTAATATACAAATAGATCTCATCCTGGTCTTGCCTTATAGATGCTGAAGGAAGAGACTTTCAAAATGCCACTAATAAAACCTCAGGATATTGGAGTGAGTGAGTGTGTGTGTGTGAGAGAGAGGAAGAGAGAGAGTGTGTGTGTATGTGTGAGTGTGTCACAAAGCTGCTTTAGCAGAGGAAGCCTGCTGCTTGCATTTCTTCCTCAGTCCTGGTTAGAGAGAGCTTTTTCCAGCAAGCTTTATCACCCTTACTGATACCTCAGATTCCCAGTGAGCTTGCCTTCCTTTTAAACCAATTGCTTGAAGTTGTATGAATACACTCACACAGGATGCCCCTTTCTTACTGGCGATTAGTGCCATTTAACAACTGCAAATGGAGAAACTATTTGTCTAATGAGAGCTGTTTTCAGAGTTGATTCACCAACACTCTAGGGAAGAGACTATAAAGCTGAGACCTCCTCCTGAGTCTCAAGTCCAAGGAGACAAGCAAAGGCTGCTTCTTGAAGCAGATGAAGTGTGTGTTTGGTTTAGAAAATGTTTTACTTCCAGATTAATAGTTTTAGAAAATACATAGGCTCACTTCCAGTTCATACTGGTTGACTTTTTTCTTTTAACTTCCTATACAAACTATAAACTTTGATTTAGAATTTGGACTATTAAACAATTAGCACTGTGGTTTGGGTGTCATGGTAAGGTTTAACTCCATGCTTTAGAGGTACAAATCCTTTTTACTTTTTCTCCTACCTCAGATTGTGTCTCACGCTACAAAATACATTCCAACACTTGTTTGCTCATCGGAGGAGGTATGGGGAATCTCAGACTCTGTGCTAAGATGCTTCTCCCAGCAGACAAGTTCTGGGGCCCTGTGTTAGGGTGGTGATAAATCGATAATCACCCCAGTAGCCACCCCATCTCATGGTCAGGGAATGCCAGGCTCCCTAATGTCTGTGGTTTAGCATATTAGTTATTTCTTTGGGTACAAAAGATTCCAGATATAAAGTGATTTAAGCTTCCTATGAAGGCAAGTACAAAGACAGTGAAAAAGTTATTCCTATCTTGAGGTGAAAGGTTATCATGGAAAAAATAGTGGATTAAAAGTCAGGAGAGCTTGAGATGGGTTCTTGAGTAGGTTTGAGATTCATTCATTCTCTTTAGACACAGTCTTTTTGTTTTTTTGATTTTTTTTATGTTTTTGGTCCACACAAAAAGAAGGTAATCTTTAAGATTTGGTTATTTCTAAAACAATCATTCCTTGAATTAATAAGTGATAACTCATCTTTTGTACAGTGCTTCCGAGGGGTACAAGCAGGATATTTTTAAAATGTATTCATGATATAGACCTAAACAACATAGGAAGCATGGGCACACTCCAGGTTATCAGGCATTTCAGATCCCGAGGAGATATCCAAATGAGAGAGACCAGTTAGGCATCAAGGGCTTCCATAATCAGGTGCAAATACTCTGGAAAAGTGTGATTGACTTAAAGACAAACGACCTTGTACAGACAAGGGGATAACATGTTTGAGAACTTATATTTCAGTCCTGTTTGGGAATCTTGATCTCAGAAAGATGAGGACTGCAATAAAGCGAAAATTAAAGTTACTTAGTAAATATTTGCAGCATTATCATTCCGAATATTCTAGTGTTTGCTGCACTTTATTTGCTCGGAGGCTGGAGGAATTTAGCAATCTAATTGTAACTGGTTTTGGAAACAACCTAAGACACTTTTCTTCCTTATATATTATCAGTGTCATAACGTGATATGTCTTTTAATTTGAGGCTCTCCTTGAACTGAAAGCTCCAACAAGCTTTCGCTAACCAGACTTCATTCACATTCTGAATCTGGTTTTTGTCTCACACATATTAAATTTTACAAAACAGAAAGAAACAATAGAGCTTATTAGGAAAAACTTGTTTTGAATAGTAAATTAAGCATAATGGAAATAGGCACATGTTTTAGCACGGTTTTCCCCCCTTTTTTACCAATTGAACATTTACATCTTTTTCAAAGTGCTGTGATTTTCCCCTTAAGTCTTAAGCTGGCACCACACACTTTCAATAAATGAGACTTACATCACTTGTATTTACTGAGAGAAATCATTGTAATACTGTAGATTCCAAATGCACAGCCTTCTGTAAAAAAGGAGTTTTAAGTAGTCACCCCTAATTGTATTAATCAAGTCATTGTGGCATTCTAAGAATCCAAAGAACTACCTAATTTCAAAGACAGTGTAAAATCAACTGTCAGTTCTGACTAATTTCAAATGATGCCCTGTTCTTGAGACTGGACACCTGTACATTTAGAGGTGCACCTGACTGAATCGTTTGTTTTCGAGAGATGGTCCCCAGGTGGAGGCATCTACAAAGTCAATATATTTTCTTTATAACTGGTGTCAAGTTGATGTATATATTAAAAAATCTTGGAAAATGATCTCAAAAAGGAAGTAACAGCCCAATGAGCCATATGTTCAGGGAACCTAACAGGTTTCCATTGGGACCAAATTTCACTTCACCTTTTTGTCCTTATGTGCAAATAAAAACTTATCTGCAAATACACCATTAAAACAATCATGCAAATTTGCAAAGTCTATAGACTGAGAAGAAATTATAGTAAATCCATAATAACCAAGTTGTTAGAAGGTGAAGAATTTGATTATATATTAGAAATACATAACACAACATAGAATTGAACTAAATTTATTTGAACTCTAAAGGTTTACTGCATCAGAGACACTTGGCTTACATAGTTGGTTAATGAAGAAAAGGCTGATGAATTGTTAATAAACTGCTTAATTTTGATACTGATGGAGCATCTGAATTTCAAAGTTTACATTAAGAAATGTAAAGTTATTATTTTTTTTCTGTTAGGTAGGTTGCTATTTTAACAGATTCAGATGCCAGGGAATTTTCTAAATGCCAGATAATACTGTAGCACTAAAAAGTCTGTGATGTACTAAGGGCAGAGAGGCCTGCTTAGTGGTTTTCCAGAGTGGAAACAAAAAAGCATTAACATTTATCTACACACAATTCTTTATATGAGTCTTTTAAGAAATCTCAGTTTTAAAACTTTTAAACATTCTGTATAATTCAGTAGATTCTAACAATTCTGCTTTCCGCTATTGTATTGGTATGCCTGGGCACATTCTAAAAGGAAAAATTATTCATTCTGTGTGTTTGTGTAGTTTTTCATAGGACTAGATCAGGGATGAAGATCAATAATACCAAAATTTACTCAGGTCATTTTATTTTTTGTGTTGTACTTTTTTAATGAAACATTACAAATAGAGAAGAGTAGAGAGAATACTATAAATCCTCATATATATATATGACAATTTTTTCAAACTTTCACATTTTATGTTGCTTTTTTAAACAAACAATAGTGTGTAAAGTTATGCAGTGGTAAGGTTCAGCAGAACAAAAATTATACTGTATGGATTATCTTTCAACTGATTTCCTTTTCCATTTATGACTGGGGGAAGAAAGTATTTTATGTTAATTCAGACACCTGGTTAGCTAAGTAGTACAGAACTCGTTAAAAGGGAATTGCATTCTCCTTTAAGTCTAAATACCTATCAGTTCTCTGGAGCTGTGTTTCGCTTAACTTACTTTAAGAACGTCCGTGTTTCAACGTGTTTCAATCTCTACGGGTAGTTTATGTAAATCTGTAATAGTAAAAACGTACGAATTAAAGTGTATTTTAGGCAAAAGGTTAAAGCTCAACAATGGGCTTTTAAATTCAAAGAGGAGGAAGAAACTCAGGTCCCAGGCCTGTCTCAACAGGTCTAAGGCGACCTCTTCCAGCAGAAAGGTTCCGGTGGTCTCCGTCCAGGGGCAGGCACGGCCCCGCGGTTTCGACCGGCTTCCCCGAGGCCGGAGCGCAGCCGCCCGGCGGGGAGCGGTGCTGAGAGAGATGGCCCGGACGCCTCCGGCCTCTGGTCACTGCGGCGGAGGGCGGAGGACGGGGGACGGTTTCCTAGAGGCGTTCTTTCCCCGGCGACAAAGGAGTGGTGTATCTCCAGGGGTCCGGAGGCCCCTAAGCCTGGTCTTGGGGTCAGGAGGTCAAGCCTTAGGCAGCACAACTACCTTTCAGGCCCTTTACTTGTCTTCCTCGCAGAGGTGCATATTAAACTATGTCCGTTTAGTTCTGGCCGGGCTGGCGAGGGGAGGTCGACCGCGGGGGAGACTCTGCCCAGGGGTTGGGGGCGGCTCCAGGGCCGCGTCGAGGGGCCTGCCGTCGGTCCGGGGAAACTTTTCCGCCTTCCTGGCCCCGACTGTTTTCCCACCCCAGGCTGCCCCCCGCCCTCTTGACTTCGCTTGTCTTTCCCACTCGCTGTCCACCGCGAGAAGGCAGGTTCCCCGGCCTCTCCTCCGAGACCCACTCCCCCGAAGTGGCGCGCGGGGAACGGGCAGGCCCTCGGAGCACCGCGCGGGGCAGCGCTCGCCGGTGGCTAGCGGGCGGCCCGGGCCCGGGAGGGCGCCCGCGGGGAACAGCGTGGAGGCTTCTGGGCCGCGTGGGGCACGGCGGCCCGGCCCGGGCTCCACTCGCCAGCGGCGGGAAGGACGAGCGGGAAAGCGAGGGAGCAGGAAGCGGGTGGCGGCGGCGGCGGCGGCGGCGGCGGGCCCGCTGGAAAGGAGGGAGCGCCGCAGGCGGGAGGGGGAGCGCGGAGGAGGGAGGCCGGGAGGAAGGAGGGAGCGCGGCAGGCAGGCGGAGGGAGGGCTGATTAGCATGCAGCAGCGCTCGCGCGCCCGGCTCCATTGTTTTAACACCTCCCCTCTCCTCCGCGCCAATCTGTCACCGTTCAGCAGGCGAACGCTGCTGCCTCAAATGCTGCTCTTCTCAAATGAGACGGATAATTAGTTGCCCCGCACGAATGCCGCACTCTTCTCACCCCTGATTGCTATCACCTTCTTGCTCCTGGCAGTTTTGACACCTCGTAATCAGCCTGCTGCTTTTCTCTTTTCTTCCCGACTTCTGCTTCCCTTCCCCCCCTTCCTTCCTAGTTTATTTATTTACTTATTTATTATTATTATTTTAAATGCAATCCTGGTTCCTATTTGGACGAGGCCTGTGCCGAGTTAACCTTCTGCGTATACATGTGTGCATATAGATGTATATGTAAAATAGTGTGCGTGTGCGTGAGTCGGGGGCGGGCTGGCAGTTTTGCGGAAAACACTGCTTCTACGCGGAGAGAATTCTCTTCCCCTAAAGATATTTTTGGGAAGGGAGGAGTTGAGGAGAGGGACGGGAGGGGAGAGTTGGGGAGACCTCAATTAATGCTTTAAAGATCTCTTAGAAATTAACAAACTGGGGAGTCTCGGAATCTGCTGTCAGAAGTGTGTTTCCCCCTCTCTCCTCTAACAAGCACTGACAGTCTAATTACTGTAGCTACAAGCAGCTGTCGAGGCAGCAGCCCGGGAGAAAAGTCGCCACAGGCTGAGCGCACCCGGCCGGCCCCTGCGCACGGCAGAACCGCCGAAACCCCGGCCACCTCCGGGGAGGCTGGAGAGGAGGGCAAGGCCCCGCACCCGAGAGCCCCGCGAGCAGAAGGCGGGCCTGGGAGCCAGCGGACACGCTGATCGTTTCATATTTATAAAGTCTTTACCTTGAAGGTTAAAAGATGTGAAGAAAAAAGGAGGGGGCGTGGGGGAGTGGGAAGATCTCCCAAGCTTCCATCCACCCTTTTTCTACCTCCTCGAGCTCTCCCTCCCCCGGTGTTGGTAAAATAACCACGCAACCCGGGGCTGAGGGGGCGGGGTGAGCCAGGCTGGAGTGTAAGAAAGCAGATGTCCCCGCTGGCAGCAGCCTCAGCCTCCGGGGAAAGCTGCACAGGGTTGGGGGGGGAGTGGTGGGGGGGGGACGGGGGCCCTCCCGAGGACATTCACCTCCCACTTCTCAGGCATCCCGCTCACAACTGCCTCGCCTCGGCGGGGGTGGTTTTTTCAGACTCAGCGTTTCGCGTGTGAAGCTTTTTTACCTGGGAGCTGTTCTTACCCGGCCACGCGTAGCAGGTGCCAAGATGCAGCCCCTACACGACTCAGGGTTAAGAGAGGAGGCCCGGCGGGTGCCTGCTCCACTTATCAGGCTGCAGCCAGGGCCACCTCTGCAGTGCGGGCTTGGAGCCTGGGTTTCCAGGCGGCCTGCCCCTTGGCCGGAGAAGGCCTCTGGCCCTTACAAGTTGGAGCTTGGGATAGCACTGGAACCTAGCAGAAAACAAGAGTTTCCCGCTTACTAGAAGTGATGGAGGTGGGAAAAGGGTGGACTGGAGGAGTCAGTGATACACTCTGAGTCCCTTTCTGGGCCATAATCTCCTTCCGTTGTCAGTAGGCTAGTAGATGTCAACTGTGAGAGAGGAACTCTTCCTCATCTAGGAAAAGAGAACGAAAAAGAATCGCCTTTCACTAGATAGATGCAGTGGTATATTCTGGCTGGAATACGTTGGGAAGTTTTTTTTTAATTTTGCGTGTGTGTGGGAGGAGTAAGTGAGAGGGGAGGTTGGGTGGGCGGGAGGTAGGGGGGAAGGGAAGAGACTTGGATAATTGTCTAGGCATTTCCATTCAGCCCCAGTGGCAATGAAAGAAAGATGTACATGCCTCAGAACCCTTCACAGTGAATGCCTAATAATCACTGTCACCTTGCTGAGGAAGATGTCAATGTGATGTGCTTGGCACCCGGAGAAGTCGAGCCACCACTCTCATTCTTCCACAAGCTAAGGCCCTTCACCGTGGCACAGGTGAAATATGAACAAACTGCTCCAACCCCTTAACAGAAACCCTCCCCACAGCTTTCTAAAACACTTGCTCCCAAGAAGGCTTAAATTTCTGTTTTGAGAGTTGCAAATCAGTGTTTACTTCATAAAAGAGAAGCCATGCGTCAAACATTTTAAAAAATTGAGAGTGGGGTGGGGGAGGGAAGAGAAACCTAAATGACAAGAATCATAGGGAAGTCTCATTTTAAACAAAATTCTGCAGTCTTCTGAATTTGGTATCCTCTCTCTTAAATATCCTCCACTGGTCATCAGGCTGCTAACAATGAATTAACAGTTTCTCAACAAGTATGTGAACATTTCTAATATAAATTAATAAATATGGATAATCCTTACAAGGTTTTAGATTTGCTCCCCTTAAAGACAAATGTGTTCCCTTAGAAAGTTTAGCTTGAAAAATAATTTTAAATTTCAAAGTGATCTATTAACTGTAATAAAATGTCACCAGATCTGGTATCACCCTTCTTTCAGATTATTGGAAAGAAACATGAATTATATGAGCTTCCCCCAAATGTGATTTATTTTTTTATTCAGGAACAAAGAACACATTAACTATCACAACATAAGTAACTCTTAATATTTAACTAACTTCATCATGTAGCTATACATACAGAAAGAATTAAACTTATGTCTATTATTAAAAAAAAACTGAAGTTTTTAAATAATCCCACCAGTGATTTTTATCACTAAGCAACAAATGTCTTAAGTTTGGTATTTACTCAGATATTTATCTTGTCTGCTATTCTCTATTAGAGGTTTATTCAAAAAGAACACCCAATGCATAAATAATCTAAATTTTAAAATGAAAACAAATTAAAAAAACCCTATAAACATTTGACATCACCACATTCAATAGATCTAACTAGAAACCCAAGCAATAAGCTTAGACATTTAAAAAAACATAAATTATTGTTACACAATTGCATAATCCCATACATAATAAACACTGTAAACATGAATACAATGAATTACAGCTTTGTACAAAACAATCTTTTAAAAGGCAATAAAAGACAGTTACGATATTAAGTTTAGAAAAAAATTCAAATAGCAGTGACTGGACTTTTCAGTAAATGATCTTGAGCTAAGTTTGCAATCAAGTATTAATATATAATATTACAAACCCAAAATCATCACGTAGAACTTGAGATGTCTGTTTTCAAATGCATCTTAAGTCTCCCCATTGAAGTGTGAATTAAGATGCCGGAGGAAATCCCCCCTGGATGTAATGGATGGTGGGAAAACTGCTTGACAGAATTCACATACTCGAGGTATATGCAGTTCAGAGCCTGTGCCACTTGGTACCGATAAGTCACTGTCTTGATTAGGAAAGGGCTTCCAAATGGGCTGCAGGAAACAAACAAAAACATCTTCTGTTATTTGTATCTAAAATCAACTTGCACTGAGTTTCAAATTCAAATTTTTTGAATGGGATATATACATATATATGAAATTCCCTAATATGAAAGCAAATTACCTTTCCATAGAATTAGCACGAGGACATGATTCAATTTTCTTTTTTATAAAGGGTATAGCTTAACTTAAAGAATCACTTAAAATACACATTCACACACTTTATCTTCACAAACTAAAAAATCTTTCAGCTTTAACACCAGCATGTTTTAATACCCATTATCACAGTGATAATAGTTCTGGAGCAACAGTCAATACTGAGACTTTAAAAAAATTAAAAATTCTATCTTTTTTATTTTAATTGGAAACTTTCAGTTATAGGACCTTTATTAATACACAGCACACTAGACCTGATGTGTGTGAACATGCATTTTGATCAAGAGTAATTTAAATTTTACTACTATTTACCAGCAAATCCACAATGAATAAATCATAGAAATAAGTACTTTAATTTTTGAAAATAATTTTTTTAAAGTATGAAATGAATTCTATTGATCAGTTCTTTTTTGAAACCTCAAATATTTAATCATTCAATAAAATCCAACACTGGATGCATTCTTTTGACTTCTTATTTTGCTTCTGTTATACAGTGTATACTTTGGCCTTCTTACCTTTTCTAAGTGGCTAAATAAAGTGAAGCCTGTCAACAGTTGCCCAATTAAAGAATTATGGAAAAGCATAATTCAACAGAACTACCTCTAGTATAATAAGCAGCACATACATACTCTTAACTGTATTTACTATTAAAAAAAATAATTTAGAAGGGTAAGAGAAAGCATTTAGTTCAAGAGTAGGTGCTCTGTAAATGTTTCTTGACTGGAATATCTTATTTTCCTGAAATGCTATAAGCCAAATTATTTCTAAAATTTGCTTTCTTATCTTAAAACATCTAAACTCTGGCACTTTGAGGAAAATCACCTCAAAAAGTCCACTTAAAGAGAACCCTTTGTGCTCCTATTACTAATTTGCTTTTAAAATAACAACCTAATCCAACTCTTGACACAGTGTTAGTTTTCATTCCCTTAACCAATCTCTTTCATCCTGGCTAACCAATCATTACGTAAACAGTGTATTACTAACTGAAGCATTTGGGTTTCACGTCATCACTGTCTTCTTATAAACATTTTACTGGACAGCTGTGTACAGTTGGTGTAAATATACAATTGGTGTAAATAAGCACCCAGATACATTCAAGTATCAATACAGAGGGCTTATAACACTGACTCAAATCCTTTTGTGAGAAGCAACAATTTTATAACAAAAAACAGTAATATTTAAAATACATATTTGAAATTTGGGGTGAAATCATTTCCTTTCGCCCATGATAAAAGAAAAGCAGTACTAACTGTGAGTATGTAAGAGTTATCTAGACTTAAATTTTAGTGTTGGTAGTTTAAACAAAAAGTACAATTAATTGTTACCATTCTAATGGGAAATTGATATGGATATAAATAAAAGATTATTAAGTTAAAGATACTTTTAATTAAAATCTGTAAAATAGTTATAGGCTCAGGAGCAAACTAGCTTTTAAATTTGATAAGCCAATCTTCTACTGCCAATTAATTTTCAAAGTCCATACTTATCCTTCTCTGTTAGGACCTATTAGTTCAGATTTGATCTTTTCACAGAATTTGGTTGGGACCCCAATGACTGACTCAGCAAAAGTAGGAAGAAAAGAAAATCACATAAAGCAAAATAAACCGATATATTTTAGACTTTATTATGATAGCTGAATGTATAAAAAAGGTGTTAAGTAGTAATGATATAAAAGTAAAAATCTTAATTATGAAACCAAAATTTCACTTCCTTTTGTTATCAACAACTCAAGAATTCTGTATTCCTCATAGTAGCTTTACTAAAGCAAATAAAACAACAAAATGTTTTAAAAAACCCATTTTAAGAAATATCCTTTGAATCCTAAACTGTAACACAGCATTCAAAACAAACGAATTTCTCTGCCTTTTCTGCCAAAATATCAATTATCTAACCTTATGCCCCATGTCTTGTGACAGCTCAACACCAATTCTCCTGCATTTTTTAAGCTGAATACTTTTCCATCAAGTTGTAATCACATACCAGCTGTTTCCCTTGCTGTAGCATAGAAAGCAAATGCACAATGCAGGGTGCCATCTACTGAAACATGACTACAGACTAGTAAAAGAACAAGCAGGAGATATAATGGAGAAAAAAGTAACAGGCATTAGAACTGATGCACTTCACAGCTCCACAGGAATTCTACTTGCAATAAATGAAATTGTTTAATTTGTTTCATTAAGTAGTAACTATAACTGTGAATATGATGTAAAATAAGGTACAATGTAGAACATAAGTGAGTCAATAATTAAAGCTTATTGTCAGAGCTGCCTCCTTTTCTCCACTGCTAAACTATACCACAGCTTGAGTACTGCCTTCTTTGTATGTGGATTTAAAAGTCTATAACCTATAAAAATATTGACAAAGCCAAAGAGTATTAATCAAGTTGTTGGTGTTTTTTGGTTTTCAGTACAATATCTCAAGGCAGAGGGAAATGAAACAAATGTCCTCAAGTTGTTTTAGACACTTGTATCAATCCGCGGTTTTTTACAAGCTCCTGTTTATTTTAACAACTGTATATTTTTCAGTTGTCTTCAGGCATTAACCCCTACCCCCAATTTTTTTAAACTTAAAGAATCATTTTGTAATAGCACCTGAATAAAAGGGAGGGTAGAAAGGGACTGGGGTGGCATAAGGGTGGGCTGAAAGTAGTCTGCAAGCTTTATAAACACTAAAGAATTTGATAAAAATTATACATATGTAACGACTATTTAAAAAATATATTAGGCTGCATGTTCAGGGCCAGATTAGAAACCAAAACCAAACACTCCAGATCCTAAGTACTGTATAAATGAGACTGCAACAAAAGTATTATTCTAAAGACAGTTCACTTATTTTCAGAAATAGAAATATACAGTGATTATTTACTTATTAAAAAATGATGCATTCTTATGAAGCTAAGTATGATATACACAACTTTTTGATAAAAAATGACATCTGCTTCACTGAATAAAATTTAATAAAAAATCTTATTATAACAATGATACTGAGTAAAAATCTGAGTAAGGGACTAGGTAAGATAATGACACACACTAGATACAGATAAGGTTTACATCTATTTTTAACGTGCCATAAATTTTAAGGTACTTTGTAACAGACCTTTGCGATAATCATCTTTTAAATTTCATGTCATTTATTTTAAGACCTGGATTTTGTTAGTTGAAAGCTTAACTTTGGCTAGTCAGTAGTTTAAAAAAGATGTCTGATAACCTGAAAGAGATGCGTATCTGTGCATGCATGGCAAAATGTGTGTTCACACATAATATATTTGTTATTGCAAAACAGTTACCTGCTGTGGTCCTCGGATAGCTTTTCCTGGGGAATCGAGTGAAGGAAAAGGTGCATCAGATGGGTCCTGAAGTGGGAATGTATTTACAAATAATGCATTATGGTCTCCAGGTGGCAAACACGGAGCTCTGTCCAGAGATGTCCTAATACAAGGATTTGAGGGTTTTGTTTTGTCAGTTGTTTTAAGGTTTTGTATAGCTGAAGCTATGGGGTCAATTCCCTGAATTTCAAATAAAGTTTCTTCTGTTTTGACAAAGTTTCCTGGATTGTCTCTGGGCTCCATATTAAACTGATCCTGGCACACAGTCTCAGCTGTGACAGAACCAAGGACATCGGGTCTTTCTGGAGTGCTATGTAAGAAAGTCGAGTCACTGTCCGTAGGTGGAAACTTGACATTGAATTTAGAAAGTGATTCAAAAGATGTGTCTTCCTCATCTTGGCCCAGTCCTCTTGGTGTGACAGATGTGATGCATGGTGCACCTCTATTTATATCATCTTTTGCCTGAGGCTTAAACAGCACTTCTTGTTTATCTGTTTTATCCGTACACTGTATAGGCATAGAGCACTGTGTCTCTGCAGGGAAAAAAACACAAAAGGAAAACAGTCGCATTTCAATCATTCTTAAAATCTGAATGTTCAATTAGCTTTGGATAGATGAGTATTATTTTTTCTATTGGTTTTTATAGTAACTGAAGACAACTGGCATTTTTTTTTTTACATTTGCGACCATCTTACACAGAAATATTAGCAGTTTCCAGTCGGTGAACTGGAATATAACTTATTAGTCACAGTTTAACTACATTGTCTTTTCCTAGGTCTTGTGCTGTAAGCCTTGAGTCTTGTTCACAGTTATTTGCTCTACACTTAAAAACATTTGCTTATAGCATATACATCTCAACATTTTGTCAGTAATGGAAGCTGCAACTGTTAGCTTGCTTAGACAAGTTATTAAAAGGGAAACTCCTTACCAATCATATATATGTACAGGTTAAGAATCTATATGAATTAGGTAATTTACTCCCCTATAATATGTCTGTGTGACAAATATTAATATATCACCAATCAGCTTAGCCACTGTCTACTCTATGTGAGGGAGTGGTAGTGGTGGGTGTTAGGGACAGAAAAGCTTGGAAGTAAAAGAAGGATGAAATTTTAGGATGCATGTTCAAAAAACTCTATGTGAATATAGGATTTTCTCATTTAGAAAAGGCCTCTCTAGATAACAGGTAATATCAGGTAGATACTAGAAACTCCGAAGCTGATTTATCTAGAAGACACTTTTCCAACAAATTCAGCTCTCAAGGACATAGGCAAAAGCTAGAAAATAAGAAAATAGTGCTTTTGAGGAGTCAGGTTTAGAGCCACAAGGCCCACAGATGAATTTTGCTCTTATTCTAATTTTAGATTCATTCTAACAAGCTTGATGATGTCTGCCTAGTTCATAGCTGGTTAGAAGCAGCACACTGCAAGGTATGGACCTGAGTTGTTGAAAGCGGATGCAGGTATCAGTAAGAACTGAAAGCACGAGACAAGAAAAACAAAAAAGCAGATAGAAGAACTCAGAAAACACTACAGTTCAGTGTAGGGCCGACAAGAGCTACGTTTTTCAATGCACAAAAATGATGATCAAAGCACTCTCCCTGTTGATGATATTGAGAGATTAGAAAAAGCTAAATTATGCCCCACAATGTTACTTTAAGAAGACAGTGAAATTGGAGGCTGGTAATATGCATATTTTCATTAAATGGACAAATGGTAAAAAAAATTTTTTTTAAGTGAAAGTGAAGTTGCTCAGTTGTGTCCAACTCTTTGTAACTCCATGGACTGCAGCCCACCAGGCTTCTCCATCCATGGAATTTTCCAGGCAAGAGTACTAGAGTGGGTTGCCATTTCCTTTGCCACTGGATCTTTCTGACCCAGGGATTGAACCCGGGTCTACTGCACTGCAGACAGTTGCTTTATCGTCTGAGCCACCAGGGAAGCCTGGTGATTTTTTTAAAATCAGCATGCTATAAAGGTAGACATCAGTGAAGCTGCACATTAACCAATGAGGCCAATTTAAGCAGACAGGGTATAGAGAGCACTGTGCAACACAGCGTTTGCCCAGATCAGTAAGCACTTAACAAATGTCGTTCTTTTCCTTTCCTTTTGGTGTTTACAGTCTCATGACACCTTTCTCTTCTTTGCCAAGCTACATTCCAACATAAGATGTTTACTGTTTGGACATGATTGTAGTGCGATGCCAACGGCTTCTTTAGTTCATCCTGTTACATACCTCTGTCTCTCTTTAGTATGTACCATCTTCTCTTACTGGATTAACTACAGCAGCCTTTGAACCGCTTCCTTGCATCTAAATTTTTCTCATATCCACTCCACTATCTACACTGCTTTCCCCTACCCTGCCTTAGTTTTTCTAAAACACGTATTTGGTCAAGTTATTTTCTTAATAAACCCTTCTCATGGTTCTCCAAGCCCTTCAGCCCTAACATTCATATAAAACAGTGCGTGACTGATCCTTGATCACGTCTCCATGCTGCCATCTTTTACCACATCTGCTCCACTCCTTACTCCAGCTTTAATGAACTTTGGTACGGTTGTCCCAAAGGCCATATTCTCTTGTCTTTGGGCCTTTGCACATGTGGTGCAGACTATCTGAACTGCCCCCTTCTGTTACTCTTTGCCAAACTCTTATATGCTCTTCATTTCTTGGCGCAGGCATTCACTTCTCTGGATGGCTGGCTCTGGCTTCCCAAGACTGGTTTAGTAATGACTTGTGGGTGCCCTGAGGACTAAACACTCTGCATTTTATTTGCAAATTACCTCTTTCTCCCATTAAGGTAGATTTATTGAGGTCCTAAACTATGTTTTGTTTCCCACTTTCTCCAGTACCCTGCTCAGAACTTGCACATAGTATGCCCTCAATAAATGCATTCTGAATTAATCTGTGTTCTCTTTCCCATGGAGCTTAGTATAATAATCTACATTTGCTAGATAATCTGTCTGTAACTGGGAGTGAAAGTGAAAGCGCAAGTCTCTCAGTCATGACCGGCTCTTTGCGACCCCATGGACTAGAGTCCATGGAATTCTCCAGGCCAGAATACTGGAGTGGGTAGCCTTTCCCTTCTCCAGGGGATCTTCCCAATTCAGGGACTGAACCCAGGTCTCCCGTATTGCAGGCAGATTCTTTACCAGCTGAGCCACAAGGGAAGTGGTACAGTATTAAGATCAAGCACAACTGGTTGGCAGGATTTCTTTGTCCTCTGAGGTTCTTAAAGTCCATTAACTCTCAAGTAGTCATTTTTCCTGGTAGTAGACTTAAAAAATGGTAGGAAATTCTAGGAAATAGTACTTTATTTGTAGATTACTTACTTACTAATTGCAAATAATAAACCAGGAACCACCTCTTGAGGTAACTAAATTTTGTTAACACCTTAGAAGGAGGAAACGCTTATCTAAATGTTCTTCAATAGGAGAACAGGGTGAATGTGAAAGAATCTGCTGCTGCTGCTAATGACAACTACTAACATTAACAGAACTTCTATGTGCCACACACTTATAACCATTGTATGTGTGTTAATTCAGGGGTTAATTCCAGGGCTACACAGCTAATAAATGAGTGGTAGATCTGGAACTGGAACTGAGGCAGCCTAACTCTAGAGCCTGTTCTGAATTATTATGACACATTGAACATGCTGCTTTCTACATTATAGAAAAGAATCTCCAAAATGATAGAAATGTGCTTTAAATTTCTTTTCCAGAAGTAGATCTATCCCCTTTGTGAACAAAACATAGAAAACCCAAACAAGTGTAAAAAAGCATATATTTTCTTTCAGTATAGCTAGTTGGCATACCTCTCAGCACATTAATCTTCTGAATTAATCTGTTCAAGCAACAAGAGTTACTATTTAAAAAAAAAATTTTTTTTTTTTGTTTAAACCTAAGATTTCTCAGGCTACTAGAAATCTAAGCTTAGAAAATTTAAAACTCAAGCTGTATGAAAGCACTTGTCATTCTGACACTATACTAAGAAATATGATTAGGTGAGCTTATTGTCTTTCTACTTTCTTTACTTCAAGGACACTTATCTCTAAATTTTAGATTTCTAAATTTTAAGAACAGGCTGTCCATTTGGACTACTTCTCAGTTTAATTATCTGGTATATGACAAAAGAAAAAGATCTGATGGTTGCTTTAACTTATAGTCCTATATCTTCGTCTCCTGATCCCCACTGAAATATGACCCTGCTTCATGGACCAAATAGTTCTTCTTCCTGAAGCCATAACTGCTTAAGCATACATTTCATCTTTATCCTTTCTCAAGGTTATTGTCATATGTGGATGAGAAGAAAAAATTAAAAGAAAATTTATAACTCTACTAACTCAGCAATTTATGAATTATATCTGTTTCTTAGAAGTAAAAATCAAATTTTAACAAAAAATAACACAGGGGACAATCATGTTAAATATACTCTTTCCAGCTATATTATGCAAATCACATTAAACAGTTACTTTGTATTTGTATTCAACTTAGTGTTCACCCTTAAAATAAACCTGAACAGGCAGGCGTCTTCCCCAACCCATCTCCAAACATTCTTTTTCTTTTTTTCCCCTTTTATCTACTCCTTTCAGAAGCAGAATATTTGATATTGTGGTTTGTTTGGAGTCAGAAAACTTCATTGGAATTTGTACCACAAAAGACCTAAAATGTTTCCAGAATAATGCTGTATTTATTATTTGTGACACACTTAATATAAAACATAAGAACTGTTATGAAGCAGTTTTAGTGGGAAAGGAACTGAAGTTAAACACTCCAGTTAAGTATTCCAGTTGACAGATACATACTCAGATTTAGACCTGTGCAACTGAAAAATGGTCAAAGTATTATGCCACTGATAATGGGTAGGTTCTCTGTGTACAATGAATACATCACATTACAATGTTTTGATAAGACGCTGATGTTCAAAGAGGCATGTTTATGAATTCTAGGTACTACATCTCTATAGCTAGTAGATTTTAAATAAAGATAATTCTTTTACTTCAGAAGTACCTAGTGTTTTCAGTCTGTAGAAAAGATCAATTTCTCATGAAAATGATAGAAATTAAAGTGTAAAAAGTCAGAGCTCTTTCTGGGGAAGTACAGCAAAGGGACGAGAAGTAAACTATGTCTGTTTACAAAGATTGTTTTGCTTTTCCAACAGAACACTGTGTACCTTTTCTGAAAACAAAATGGTAGTAGTAAGCAAAAAGTAAATTTACACAATAAAATGATTTCTTAAATAGCCTAGTTATGGGTTTTAAGAAATGGGAAGTGATCTTTAATTAAAGGGGTGTTTCAGATTGAAAACTGTAAATCACATCTCTTCGGAACTGTATGCAGAATATCTCAAATCACAAGGGTAAAAGAGAATTTATCATTATAAATGATCAGTTTACCTTCCTTTTGTTTACAGAGGTGCTTGGTAGCCAAATTCAATCCTTCCTTGGTATTTTGCTATTCATATTTAGCTACTGAAGCAAATACCAGGAAGCCTGTCTGGGGTTTTAGGGAAGGGTAGAGCTTTTAAAAACCACACTAAATGTATCTGTAAAACAGACATTCCTTTTGAGTTGTATTTTATACTAAATTTGCACTTGGTGCCTTCAACAGAACTGGACTCATGAAATGTGAAATGTTTATTTCTTCAATCAAATTAGAAGAATGTATCTATGGTGTACAATTAACTTTCAGGCAGAAGTTAAAAAACAAATCTAATGTTATAATTTTATTTCGCTCATATGATAGTGTTGCTTCTAGGTTGTTTACTAATATATCAATTAATTTTAATAAGACACCCAATAGCAACTGAAGATTTTGAGAGATATATCCTATATTTATTTTTCCAAGGTAGGACTTCTTATTAAGAGGATTAGTAATTATGTCAATCAATTCAATCTGTATAGTGCCACACAAAATAGAGGGAAGAGGACAATAATGATATAATGTAATAATTACGGAATTTAAACAGTACTTACCCATTATAAGTGGTGAAAGGCACAAGTCACAATCCTCAGCACTTAATAAGCACTTAGAAACATTTTCACAATCAAAAAGAAATCAATTTCAACCAATTAGATTAACATTACTGTATATTAAATCAAACCTTACCAGCTGCAGTGGTTGGTACATTAAGTTTGCTTAAGTGATCTTTTTGTGCTTTAGCTAGCACGCATATTCTATGAAATTCTTCTTTCAGATCCCAGAAAGTCTTCTCTATATAGCTCCTAAAAATAAATCAACATTTTAAAATGTAAAGACTATATCTTCAAATTTTAGAAATCACGATTGAATTTACAAGCACCTTTGAATGTACCACAAAATAATTACTGAAAGGTTCAAGTTTAAAAATATCATTTTAAATTCCTAGACAATATTTCCTAAAACAACTTTAATATTTGGCGAGCCAGGCACAAAGTAAGTGATTAAGTTCTAATACATATTGCACAAACTAGCATGTCTCCTTATTCATATATTCCACTTATGCTGGCTGTCTCATTCTTACATTAGAAACTACAATGTATTGACTTTTTGTCCTCTGTGGATATTTTAAACAGAAAAAACTTAATTTTTTATTTTTCACATTGAAAAGATTAAAGATCTATCCATATAAAATGATGTGGCCATAATACTTGTTCTACTGAAATAGAACTTCAGAGAATTCAGTTTTTAGAACCATCTCTGATATTAACTGTATGACTTATTTAGGTCATTTTAACATGGAGAAGCCTTGAGTTCATCTCTTCTAGTTTTAAAAGGCTGCTGTTTCTTACAATTGCTAAAAACTTAAATATGTAAGTAAAAATATATTTGAGTATTTATAATTTGTAGAGTGGGCCAAGAAGGACACAGAACTACCTTTCATGGAATAAAGGAATACCAAGACTCCTTGATGAAGTTTCTTTTCTTGGAGAGGAAACCTCTTGTCTTCTTACCTTAAAGATATAAAATGATTACCACTTTAAATTGCTTCCAAACTCAAATGAGAATGGATTAACAGAAAACAATGGAACATTTATCTTCCTCACTGAAAAGTAAGTTTAGTTAGTTTTACATATATACGTTTACATATATTAAAGTGAAAGTGTTAGTCCCTCAGTTGTGTCCAAGTCTCTGTGACCCCATGGACTGTGGCCCACCAGGCTCCTCTGTCCATGGGATTCTCCAGGCAAGAATACTGGAGTGATTCCCTTCTCCAGGGGGATCTTCCTGACCCAGTGACTGAACCCTGGTCTCTTGCATTGCTGGCAGATTCTTTATCAGGCAGGGAAGCTCCATATATATGTATATATTACAACAGATTTTTTAAAAAATGAGAACATTCAGTGGAAAAAGGAAAATGAAAATAGAAAAATAAGATGAAGTCATGAAGTATTTCTGGTAACTTCAATACTATTTCCAGTATTGATAATTCAAGGAATTTCCTCAAACTCATATCTTGATGAAATTGCTACTCTGATCACCAAGCATCTGACATGACTAGAAACTTTAGGAAAAAAATCCATGTGAGTTTACTTCTTTTCTGTTATTGGCCTATACATCTAAATCAGTGTCTTTGTATTCTGCTATAGATTCTTTGATGAGAAATGCAGCTGTATAAGAGGAATAAAGAAAACCAAGTTACAGCTCTTTAGCATTTAACAATCATTTTTAAAGACAGTGCAATTATGAATTTAAGCTCCTTTAACACAAGTTCTTGCCACCACCCTGTGGCTTCCACTGGTATTACACTTATCACGACAAGTCAACATTAAACATGTAATAATCTACTGCATAGTTTAGATATTTAAAAAATCTTCAATCATACCTAGAGAACTTTGTGTACCTTTTAAAATTACAAACTGATAAATTCAAATATTTAAAAAAACCTTAATATTATTCAATTATTTATACTTTGGCCAAACTGCATGGGATCTTATTTAAGTTCAAATTCAAACCAGTATTTTGTATTAAGTAACTTTTCAGATTTTATTCAATTAAGGTCATTGTAGCTATTACTAAAATGGATAATTTTACTTGATTGCTTACCACCTGAGTACATCTCCCTTATAACCTTACTTTCCAATAGGTTCTTTCAATTTCGTAAGAGTATTGTTTGTTCTTTAGGGAAAAATCTGATTCTAGTTTGCTTTTCTTAAAATTCATATCTGCTCCAATTTCTTCAGTTTATTGTTCTACTTTTCCAGCTTTTTCTAAATACTAGTGTTTGCTTAACATTTCTAAAATAGTGTTATTAGTTTATAGTAAGTAGTAAAATATAATCTTGGCAACACAAACATATGCGATTTTATATATTATGTTTTCAAACTAAGGTAAAACAAAGATCATTTGCTGGTGCATACTTTTTGTATGCAATATATAGGCCATTTCTTCTTCTGGATTAAAACTGCTTTGTTGAGCTTTATGGCTTCCCAGTTGGTTAAGTGGGTAAAGAAGCCACCTGCAAAGCTAGAGATGCAAGAGAATGGATTTGCTCCCTGGGTCAGGAAATCCCCTGGAGAAGGGCACTGCAATCCCTCCAGTATTCTTGCCTGGAGAATCCCACGGACGAAGGAGCCTAGTGGGATACTGTCCAAAGAGTCGGACATAACTGAAGTGACTAAGCATGCACACATGCACACACTGAGCTTTATAAAGCAGTCATATAAAAGACATTTTCACATTCACAGTTTGTTTTTAAAAGTGGTAGACAAGGTTTTCCTTTGGTGTTATGTGCAATTAGAACACTCAGTAGATTTTAGTGTAGACTAGGCCAAAAGGCAACATTTTAAAGCTAACCAATCATGTCAAGACACTACAATAAAAACCTCTTAAAAGGTTATATTAAATCTATAGCAACAAAATAGAGAAGAGGTAATATTAAGAGAACAGAAACATCTGACAATTTACATAATAAAAAAGGTGATTAAACTAATAATCTCCTTTTAAAATTTAGTATCTGAAACTCTCAACATGGAAAAACAACAACAACTGTCTTAGGAGCCAGAAGTAACTCCTATAATTTCAGCCTGAAAATGAAGACAGTTAAAGAAAACAGTGATGACTTCTCCCATTTTCAAAGTATGCTGATTTAGACATAAAGTAGGAATGACTGCTTCTGAAACTAAAGAAGCCTGAAGACTAATGGGTGGTAGTGGGGTGGGGGAGGAGACAGAGGTGAAGGAAAAGGTAGGAAAAGAACGATGAATTTTTGTTTGGCTTGCCAAATAACTTGTGTCGACTTACTTCTGAATTTATCTGGAAAAGACTCCTGGGTTGTACTGGCAGGAGGTAAAGGAAGACAGACTTACTGAGGAATCTATGAAGCATCTAAATTAAGGACTTCAAGCTTTTTTGGAGTTAGGAACGGCTCTACTTAACTATTATTTCTGTTACTATTGATATATTTCAAATGAAATTTTTATGTCTTACATTCCAGGAGAAAATTCAAGAGATCTTAACATGCTAGTTAAAAAAAATAAAGGAAAGTACATTTTGAAGCAGGGTTTAATCTAGAATGGGTAGAGAAAGTTAATGTTAGTTTCCATTATAGCAATCAAACGTGATTTTCTGAAAAAGATTATCTATTTTCTCATAGGATTTAAGATTAGTACAGTTAATAGCAACTCAGAAGCTCAGAATTTCTTTTAAGCGGCAAAATTATCTTATCTAATGAAGACTACTCAGTTTTGTGAGCATCTCAGAGAGTAAGTAAATATTAGAAGAGATAACTAATATTTTGCTATTTTCAAATATTATCCAGGTGGGTCTTGCACTGCAGGAAATTGAAGTTACTACAACTTCAGATAAGGAAGCAAGAAAACTCTGAACGTTATATTTTAGGAGATTTTAACATGAAATCATTCAACAAATGAATTTATTTCGAGGTACTAAAACTTAAAATACTTAACATTATAAACTGTTCCAAGTACTAGTTTGGAAATGGCGAACTTGTGGAATGAATACTGAAATAAGAGTTTTACACGTCGTACTTTTCATTTACACTTCCAGTATGGCACTGGATAAGTCATTCAACTAAATCATTAAGATAAACCCATTTGAAACAGTTGGAAGACGTTGTGAAATGATTCCTTAAATTTCCTCTTATGTAAATTGGGAGAATTTGTTTTAGTGTAAATCAATTTAGGTTTCTCATAGATGAGTAGTATATATAAAAAAATGTTCTGTTTAAGACCTAGTTAAATATGCAAAGATATTTAAGAAGGAGAAAAATGAAAAAGTGCTAATATTTTATTAGTCCAAAACCTTCTTATTCTTAATGCATATGATAACAGCAAATATTTTTGTGTTGGAATCCAAGATTTGTCACACATCAACATTTCAAAGAAAGAAATGTATATTTCCCCCAATGCCTACCTTTTTAATATTTGGCACTAAAAGTATTTTGTTCTTTTTATAAATCAATGTAAAAAATACAGAAATGATTCACAATAGCAAACATGAATTCAATCTATGTGTCAATTGAAAATGGATGAGTAGTGAAAGAAAACGTGGTATATATGCAATAGAATACTTTCTGTGTATACACACACACATTTTAAGGCTGAAGACATCAGCTTTAAAAAAGAATAAAATTCTGTCATTTGAGACAATATGGATAAATCTAGAGGACATTCTGTTATGTGAAATAAGATAAGACAGGCACAGAAAAACAAATATAGCACAATCTCGCTTATATGTGAAATCTAAAAAAGTCAAACTCATAGAAGCAATGTAGAACGGTGGCTGCCACGGTTTGGGGGAAGGTGGGGGGAGATGTTGAGTACAAAGTTTTTTAAGTCATGCAAGATGGATCAATTCTGGAGATCTAAAGCAGACTATGACAACTACAGGTAATACTACTATACTGTATATCTGAAATCTGCTAAGAGTATAAATCTTAAATGTTTTCATCACAATAAAAAAGAAAATTATATGAAGTGATAGCTATGTTAATTAGCTTGACTGTGGTGATCATCTCATAACGTATACATATATCAAAACATGTTACACATTGTAAATATATATAATTTTTATTTGTCAATTTATACCTCCAAAAAGCTAAGGGAGAAGAAGAGATGCAAAAAACAATTTTAATCAGAATCATTAGTTGACTCTTAATAGTTTTTCTTTAAAATCATTAGTTTTTAAAAATTTTGGACAACTAAAGTCAGCAAAATTAAACTGAGTTATTTCAAACTCTTCAATACTTTTAGGGTATATTCTCTCATATGAAAGGAATCTTAACTTTACAAGGCTATTACTAAATAAAGGTGATAAGTCTTCAATGATACGTATTTGAACTATAGCAATCACTAACACTTTATTCTAGGATTCATATCAAAGATTCTCTCTAAATTTACCTGAGATCCTTTCATGCACAAGGAATATTTATTTTCCAGTATCTCAGGCTGCTGAGTGTAGGCTATATTTGATTTTACTTCTGAGATTATGCTTTTAAAACAAAAGAGAGCTATGTTTTTACTTGGGACCAATATCAACCAAGACGTCAAGGTGAGATGGGATGGATCAGTAAAGGGAATATAAACTGTGGAATAGTTATAAACACTAGCTTAATAAAATTTGCTACAGAAAAAGAAAAATGAGCAATGGAAAAAGAAACTGAAAATAAGGATTCAGTTATCACTTAGATTTCTGAAACTAAGAATGAAATGTTAAAGGAGAAACTGAGGTTGCATTTATTAGTTTAGATATACTGAGACAAAAATGGACTGAGAAAGCGAAGAGCTTAAAGTAGAAAATAGGAACAAAAAAGTTACAAGAGATTTGATAAGAATATAAAAGCATATTAAAAGAAAATTTTGAAGACAAAATATAATTTTAAAAAATACACAGAAACTATATTTATAAGAACTTATGACCATGTGAAATCTATGGTTCTCTCACTCTCAGCAGTATTACTGAAAATCTAGAAAAGCAAGAGGAGCACAAATTC